CAATAGCACATGGTATAGTGAAACTGCTAAGATCTTTTAATTTTTCAGGAAGCTTTTTTTGAATAATTGCACTACACTCTTTGCTAAGTGTAACAGTTTTGTTATCCGTGAACATCCTTTTCTTGTTCAGAATATCTTTCATAAATTTCACATAATTGAGCATTTGCTCTAAAGCTTCTACGAAGGCAATATTCACTCTTAACTTCTTAAGAATTTCTAAAAATTTGGAAAATTATTTATTTTGTTTGTGTTGCTTCAATCTTTGAGGAAACGGTGGTGAAGGTCTTTCCACAGAAATTTTCAATGGAGTAAATGGATACTCTAAATCTGGGTATTCATGATCCTTCTCTTTTTCGGTATCTACTTTCTCTTTTTTAGTTTCTATTTCTTTTTCCACCCTTGTTTCCAATTCTTTTCCACTTCGATTGTATCGCTTTGATTTGTTCTTTTCCTTGATCTTTAGGATTTGGTTCCACAGTACTAGGAAAAGTTCCTAATGTTCGGTTACTAAGCGCAGTAGTGATATGTCCCAATTAGTTTTCAATATTCTTAATAGCAGTTCTTTGATTTTGTAATTGATTTCCTTGAATTTATAATTGATTTCTTTGATTCTGTAATCGTTGACCCATGTTTAATATCAGCTCTTCCATAGACAAATTCTTCTCCTTAATTTGAGTATTACTTCCTAATGGGTTCACTGGGTTGTTTGCCCATTATTGATTTGTAGAAGAATGGTTATTCCAATTAAAATTTGGATGATTCTTCCAACCTGGGTTATAATAGTTCAAATAAGGGTTGTTGGGTCTATTAAAAACATTTAAAGTCTCATATGAAGGTTGACCATCCACAAATTTCCCAGATGCATTCTCTTCCATCATAGGAGGTGTTACAGAATAATTCATCCCATAATGATCTAATTTCTTTGATATTGTAGCAATCTGCGAAGCTAACATAGATATCACATCAGAATCATGGATAGTAGCTACTCTTTTAGGATTTACCCTCTCAGAGGGCCATTGAAAATTGTTGGTAGTCATCTCTTCTATTAACGAATAAGCCTCATCAAAAGGTTTTGACATTAAAAACCACCAGCCACATCATCAATAATCAATTTAAGAGATCCCACTAATCCATTTCAAAAAGTTTGAATTATCAACCAATTTGATAACGAATTATGAGGGCATTTCCTAAGAAGTTCTTTAAATCTCTCCCAAACTTCGTATATTGACTCTCCATCAAGCTGACAGAACAATGTTATGTCATATCTAAGTTTAGCTATTTTGAATGAAGGGAAATATTTGGATAGAAATTTCTGTGAAAGTTCTCCCCAAGTTCTAATAGATCCTGGTGCTAATGAATTTAACCACATCTTAGCCTTATCCCTAAGTGAAAAAGGAAAAAGTCTAAGTCTAAAAACATCATTTAAGACTTTGTCATATTTAAAGGTAGCTCACAGTTCTAAAAAACTAGCGAGGTGTAAAT